ATAAGTAAAGGATAAGAATATATTAACACAAAATATTTCCTGGGGAAATGGAAAATGTTTCATAAGAGTAGATTTTAACATTAACAGTGTTATCCAAAGGGCAATAAAAAAGTCTGTAGTCTTTCAGACATCGGCCAAAAATGAAAGAAAAAAGGACGCCTTCTTAGTCAGGTCTGGCAGCAGCATCCACCACCAAAAGGAGATACAGAGGGGTGGCACCTGGAGATCCCCTGGCTTGTGAAGGTCTTTCCCTGTGACAGCTGAAGGATGTGGCTCTTCCTGATGTTCAGCATCCTCTGCCCAGGTAGGAAAGACAGGCAGTTTGGAGGAGCTTCACAGCCTTCAGGCATGGCTGTTCACACAGGTCTTCAGCTGGGGCTTGGAGTTCACTTCTGCTCTCGCTTTCTGGCATGTTGTGCTTGGTACTGCCCACTTGTTCCTTCTGCGCTCCGATGCTCTCCACTGCTACCTCTATTGAAAACCCTTCATTGCCTAGAATAAGCAGTGTGAAAACAACACAGCACCTGCTATCCTAGTGTCCATCTGTTTTTGTTTTACTCCATTTGCTGGAACAGGTAAGCTTTTCTGTGCTTACAAATCCACTGAAAAGTTATCTGGAGTTATAACTCAGGTCAGTCAAGTAAGCAGATCTTTACTCTGCTCCGGTCCTGCTGGTCTCCACCGTCTTGCCCCAGTTCCCTTTCGATGTTGAGAATGGCTAGATAAATCACTTCACTGGGAAGGGGTGAACAGTATGGGGGAGCTTATGACATATCATGGAGAAATGATGGACCTATACTTCCCTAGAGGACTCTCTTAAATGGACTCTCTTAAATGGTCTCCCTTAAATTTAAGAAGACCCCTTAAATGCCCTCCCCAGAGGCAGTTTAAATGTTAGTCCTGAAACACAGTGTGTAGGAAGAGGACATAGGGGAAACACATTTCCTGACCATATTCAGAGTTAACGCTCTTCCTAAGGAATGGTTTAGGAATGGTGAAATTAGTCCACTTTGGGTACTGATATCATAACTGAAAGGACAGGGCGTAAGTGCATATACAGTTCATGGAAATAATAATTGTCCTCATCCCAACTGCAAGAGCATGACGTTTCTTCCCCTCGAGCTAATCGGTGGCATAATATCCCTTTGCAACAAGACTTGGCTATCTCTGGCCCTCGAGCTGTAAACATAGCAGGCTCGATTAGTTCCTCTCCCTAGGCTGTACGAACCTCCACTATCAGCGGAGGTACATGCTGTTCAGCAACAAGTTCAAAGATCTGTTGCTGTTTTTCTTTTAATCTTCTGTTTTGCTCTTGGAATACGTAATTAGCAAACTGCAAGTGTTTTTCCTGGCTTAGGATCCTTAAAACTTTGCTGCTGTTCTTCTCTCCGAATGAAAGTTTCCGTGCATTTTTAACTGCACTGATGGATGCTCATGTACATCACTGTAACCCTCTGGACACAAGCTGCGATGCCTCAATGTCTTGAGCTCAGTCCACAGAGTGTGTTTCCCTGCTCAACAGTGTCCTGTTGCTCTAGAAGGTTGTTTCATAGTTCACAGTGTGTGCTCTAGTAACTGAGTACAAGATTCCTGGTGTCTAGAAGGAGCGTTAACTCTAGATCTAGAGCGTTAGATTTAGAGCATTAGATTTAGAGCGTTAACTCTAAATCTGCATGTAGGACCACCCGTCCTCATAGGCTGGGAGGTCTCCACATCCTGGCTGTGCTCCTGATCAGCTCCACCACGCTGCTACAGCTGCCATATCCTACACTAATTAACAGGCAAAGCAGTAGCTGTGCATGGTGGATACAATCTTCTCTGCGCAGTGTTTGATCACGTGCAACAAACTGATGAACTATGCCTCAAAATGTGGATTAAGGGCACTTTTTTTTTCCCTAGAAGATGCTGTTCTGTGGCATTTGTTCTGTAAACCCAGATAAAAATCTTGTTCATATTTTTTCAAGTTTGTATTTACAGAAGGGTTGAAAAATAGGCATAATGACAGTTTAATTAATGTATGTCATTAATTCTGGAGATAATCAAAACCCTGATAAGTCTGTAATCTTGTAAAAAAGAATTGGAATGCACTGAAGCATCTTTTGCTGTCTTTGAACCTTGTAATGAGATGCTGCATGCTTAAAGGAGGAGCCATGGCAATGAGCATTGCCAGAGGACATATTCTCAGCAGATTTCATCACTGGACTTTTTGCATGATATTGTTTTTGGCAGAAAGGTTGTAACCGAAGTCCAAAGAGTTCAACACTGTTTTCAAAATTTGTCCTTCTACCAACGCATGAAGTTGTTCTAAAAATTTGTGGGTATAAAGTCGGAGAACTTTAGCTTCCCTTCCATTTTCTTTTAATTATCATGCATTTAAAGCTCTGTTTCAGGATTAATGTTTTGGACCTTACTAATTATTTGGCAATAGATCATATAGTGTGCATATCATGCAGGTACATCAAACTCATTATTCAAACTTGAGACATGAACGTAGGCCAATATTTCAAAGTTGTTTTAAGAAAAAATATCACAGCTAACTTTAGCAAGCTATTTTTTAAAGGTTTGTTCTTAATTCTGTTTTTCATGCTGCCTGTATCTTTACACTGCAGTTTATATCCCATTTCTTCTTACTAGGAAAGTTCAGAGGAACTGAAGACTGGATTTTAGCAGGAATAGGTGTAGGTGTAGGAATTTTAGGAGTTGAAAAGAATGTGCCCATATTTTAAAGCTCAAATTCAGAACAAATTCCGATCTACAGGGGCAAAACATTCCAGCCTCTGTATGTAGTTTCTGCAGGGACCTGGGGACCAGCTGGGGCTGGTAGAGAAGTCTGTTGGGAAGGAACAGTAATAAATATTGCTTCTCTTCCTCTCTAGAGACTCAAAGAAAACTGAATTTTGCCTCCAGAAAGGAGGCCGGGGCAGCAGTCTGCTGTGGGGTGTAAAGCTGTGCAACAACTTTGGTCTGGCTCCAGAGAGAGACTGAACTGACAGAGCAGCCAGAGCAGGACTGTGGTAAATAAACCCTCCTCATACAAGCTAAGGACTTTGTGTAGGTTAATACCTTCAAGAGGAGTGACATCTGCTCCAAGGAGGCTGAAAGTCTTCAAGATTTTGAAGATGCAGCCAAGACTCTGGACAGGGAGGACTTTTTAATTTGGGCTGGATGCTCTGCTCTCTGCAGGTCTGACCGTGGCCAGGCAGAAAGCCAGGTGAATTGCCCCATCAGATACAGAAACCAAGGAAATACCTGTATAGGCGGTAGTGAGGGATAGGATCCTTGCCTCAAACCAATGACATAACACATATAGTCTTCAGTAGTGAAATAAATGCAGTTAAATTAGGCAAGACATTTATTGCCTTTGCTGCAAAAAAATAAATTTACGAAAATAGAAGATACATTTGAGCAAGATTAGCAAATATAGGATCAGGAAGACAAAACAAGTGGCAATGTCTGTCTGTTTTCCCCATCTTCAGATAATGCTGTATTGCTATACACAAGTACAACGGCTCCTCAACCTTGGCTCCTTTATTTATAAAACAGTATACTGATACCAATCCCTGGACTCGCTGACGTAATTTAATGTCATGCTTTCCAAATATAATGGATTGCACTCCCATCATAAAACAAATGCATTCCAGCAGTGAGCCCCGCAGCAAATACCAGAGCTCCGGCAGCTGGGGAAGCTGGGGCAGAGCGGTAACAATTGAGCTGTGTCACCAGAGCCCAAAAGCAAAGTTGTTACTGGCAGCATTCTAGGAAAACCTATTAAAATGCAACGCTACCAAAACCGTGTTCTTTTCTTTCTAGTTCTGGCCTGCATGCAAAAGCTGTTTTGAAAGCCCTGCGTGTGCAAGCATGCTCTTTCCCATACGACCTTTTCTTCAGTGTTTTCAAAAGTATAGCCTCTTTTCGGTTTAACGCAATATTTGTCAGTTTTTATTTATAGCTTAGAAGAAAAGTCTTCCTTCAACCGTCGCCAGAAATGCCCTTCTATAGGCATGCTGTCAGGAGAAGCCTTGCCTTCCGTGAGTGACATCCTGGGCCAAGTGCATTCTACTGACACCACTATAGCACTGCTTCCACAGATCACAGCAAGTTGAGTCACACAGCCAGGTACCATTTCTAACCTGCATGTTGCAAAAGGTAAGGTTAAATAAAACAGGCAAGCAAGCAGCAATGGTTTGCTTTCATGCATTGTCTCTCTTTTTTTCTTTTTTTTTAATAAATAGACACTAAAACCTCCAGGGGACATTTTTATTGTTATCAAAAGGCAAGCAGCAGTATGATAAAACATCACATGACCAAATTTCCACATGACTCAGCATGTGGGGTTTTTAACTTAGACACTGAAAGTCATGGTGCTTCACAAACTGGTTATACCCAGTGGACGTCATAAATGAGAAACTCAAATGTCACATCATCCTTACATGCTCATATTGATAGCATAAGTTCACAAGCACAACATACACAGGCATGACCCAGGAGAGATGACATTACACTAAGCTTGAGAGCTGCTTTGCTGAGAATCAAGAGGGATTCCTCCTATACTGCAGGACATCTTCAACATAGTAGTGGACTTTATTCAACTTTCTTTTATTCAGTAACTCTGTGAGATGAAAAGAACCATAAAGAGGCATAAAGAGGCAAAGAGCCAGATAAAATGTAGTTCTCCAGAAAGTTCACATTCACTTTATCTGCCAAACAAAGAAAACCGGTCCCACGTATTGATCCTTGCAGGAGCTCAGCATTTGGTGTCATCATGAGTTAACACTTGCCAAAGCTGGTATTTTTTATTAACGGCTGCTGCTGAAGTTTATAGACAGTATTTGTCTTGTGACTGAATAATGTTAGCTAGAAAACTGAGGACAAAACCATGGGAGCTTGTTTTTGCATGTTTGTATCCTCAGTTCATGATAATATCCTTCTGGGCTTTGGGAGCTACAAAGGTCACTTCTTCCCAACCCGAAGGTCATTTATTCTGTTGATGAAATAAACAGTCATTTAGCCAGAGTAACGACTTCAGACTGATCCTTTGCATCTTCTTGATGGGTCTTCTTTTTATCTTTCTCTTTGTTTTTCATGTGAAAAAACACACCCCCCAGAATGGCACCTGAAAAACAGAGGAAGCAGAGGGTCAGTAAAGAGCAGAGAAAAACTTCTGAAAAGATACTGTATCAAAGGATCTGACACACTACAATTGGCACACTGCTTTTTATGTCTTGAATAAAAACAAATGGCTTTATGTATGTACAGTAATACATATATCTCTAAACACACATTTAATACATTTGTTTTCCTGCACCTATGCTTTCATTTCTCTTGAAGAAAACAGGCTCACAGATGCCATGCTCTGGAAAGGGAAAGGACTGAAGTCTGAGACAGCCCTTTGCTCATGGAGGGGTCCACTCTAGTCTTGGTCTCTAGGAAATGGCTGGGTTTATGGTCATGTCTTCTGAGTTTCAAAGTCAAAGCTTATAGACTTGCAAGCTTTTGTAAAGTCTTTCTATTCTTTTTTCTATTCTCTCTTTTTTTTTTTAACTTTGCCCATCTCTAATCACCATTAAATCCACCCGAGAAGCTATCATCTGACTTTGGCTTTAAAGTGGAAAAGCCTTCTGTTGAAAAACTGCGCATTCATTTTAGGAATTCTTTTTAAAAGCCTTTATGAGTTATATACTGTTTTTTTTAAAAAAGTCATGAACCAGTAGCAATTTTTATTGCTTCCTCCAAAGGTGGCCAGTACTCTTACAATGAAAGTATCTTTAGCTGGTTACTCAACAAAATTTCACTTGTATTTAATGTCATAACTGATCACTTGGTCAGACCAAGGTATCATGAAGAAACGAGCGATGTCAGAAACACGAACAGAGGTCATGAGGATGCAGTATGGGGGTTTCCTTTCTCAACTGCATGGTCTGAATATGGCTTCTTCCACTTCAGATTTTCTTTGAATAGGAACTTTTTCTTTTTTTATCTTCCAAAGACAAACACATATGCATCACATATGCATCTGCCCTTTCTCTTGCTGTAGGAATTTGTGAGTTACACAATACTCAGCACAGAGTGTTAGTTTTGTCTTTCTAGGTACTTGTTTTCAGGTCACAGCCTCCCAGTCTGCTGCTTGTGACCATCACATTCAAAACTCACATGGGATTATGCACTTAATTCTTTCTGCTATTGGCTTCTAGGGGACTGGATCCCATCAACAGTCATCCTGACTGCTTTTCTCTCACATTTATAAAAAGAATGCCAAACAAGATTTTGTCTTGTTTTGGAAAAAGTATTAAGCTATTTGTCAAAGTTGCATCAGCTCATGCCTATAAGAATATAATTCTGTTCATTATCACTTAGCAAAATCGTGCTTTGTTCATATAAATGCCACTTTCCCACAGCTCAAGGCAGTTCTCTCACTGGAAAATGGAAACTTAAGACGCTAAAGTAGGTGAATAAATTTGTAATTTCTGAACTATGGTTAGGAACTGCATGGAAATTTACAGATTGCAAGCCACAAAACATCCGTGGACTCTTCGCTGTTTTCACTGTAATCTGAAAGCCTAAGACAGGATTCCAATCCATTCTCTGGCAGGCTAAGGTGGTAGGTATCAACCAAAAGATTAGTACTACCAATGCAACCTTTTCACAGGCTCACAGAAGAGTTGAGGTTAGAAGAGGCCTCTGAAGATCATCTAGTCCAAACCCCTGCTCAAAGCAGGGTCATCCAGAGCAGGTTGTTTGTCTGTTTCCAGTCAGGTTTTGAATATCTCCAAGTATGGAGAATCCACAGCCTGCCTAGGGAACCTGTTCCTGTGCTTGGCCGCCCTCACCATAAACATTTTTCCTTATGTTCGAATGGAATATCTGTTTGTGCCCAGTGCCTCTTGTCCTGCCACTGGGCAAACACTGGGAAGAGTCTGTCTCCATCGTCTTTCCCCCGCCCATTAGGTATTTATACACACTGATCAGATATTCCCTTCACTTCTCCAGGGAGAACTGCCCCACCTCTCTCAGCTTATCGTATAAGAGATGCTTCAATTTCTTAATTATCTTTGTGGCCCTTTGCTGGGCTCCATCTAATATGTCCATGTCTCTTGCACTGACAGGTCCAGCACTGGACCAAGCACTTCAGGGACTGAAGGGGAAGACAGGGAAGTACAGAGGGGAAGGACAACATCCCCTGATCTGATGGAGATGCTCTGCCTAATGCGGCTCAGGAGCCTCTTCGTTGCCACAAGGACATGTTGCTAGCTCATGGTCTACCTGTTGTCCACCAGCATTCCTAGAGCCTTTTCTTACAAGCTGCTCTCCAGCCAGGCAGTCCTCAGCCTGTAGTAGTACAGGAGATTATTTATCTTGAGATGCAGGACTTTGCATCTTCCCTTGTTGAGTTTCCTAAGACTTCTCTTGGCCCATCTCTCCAGCCTGCTGAGCTCCTTCTCAATGGCAGTGCAACTGTCTGGCATATCAACCACTCCTTCCAATTTTGTATCATCTGCAAACTTGCTGGAGTGCACTCCTTTCCCTAGTAACAGCTGTTTGCAGTAGCAGTAAATGAGCATGCAGATTTAAAGTGCAAAAAGCCACCCCTGGATCTATGATTCTATGATTCTATCACAGGGCTTGAACACAATGAGATCTTCCACCTTTTCACTTACTCTGTAACATTCATAATGTCTCTTCACTGCAGGAGTGAATCACTGCCGTAAGTGCAGCAGCACTGTCACACTTGGTAGGACTAGCCTCATATCAATCAAGAGAAAGTCACTTACCAATGATGAGCAACACCCCAAGAAGAATCCCAATTGCTTGGCCTGCGCTTGGCCTAAAGTGCTCACGTTGTACTTCTATAAAACATGACTTTTCACTTGAACACCTGCACATGTTTACTGCAAAAAGAAATGCCATGAAACTAATGAGAATTTTAATAGCTCCATTTCACTATGCATATATATTACTGTTCTCTTGAAATTAACAGTTGTGCATACTATACTGTGCATGGTATACCTTCAAGATTTATTTCTGCTTCCAAAGGTGGTCTTCCGTTGTCATTAATTATTATTGGAACACTATAGATCTTCTCTTCAAAGTTACTATGTCTTGGAGAAAGGTAAGCATGAGTACCTGGTAAGTAGGAAATAGGACAGTTGTGTCAACACAAGGAAGAAATTTAGCTAGATATTCACATCAGCTGCAGTGCTCTGTGACTGAGGTCTTGTTTCTTAAGGCTGCTTTGCACATTCTGGTAGTTCCCCTACCTCCCCACACACACCCCTGCCCAGGTCTCACTGGTTTTCAGACATCAAGTCAGAAGGGGCCATATAATAACATTTTCATGGAACATTTTTATGGAACTTCTACTTATCACTAGGCTACAGTCTCACTCCTGGCTTGTAATGGTCAGCTTAGAACCCTTTATCTCATATGTGATTTTTTTTTTTCATGTGCATCCTGTTATGTATATCTATACCAAATTTAATCTGCCCTTTTATTGTTCAGTCTCTCATTCTCTCAAAGACCATCTGCAATTCTTCCTACTTGCTTCCTTCTCAGATAATTTGTATCATCAATGAACTGTCTCCTTACTGAGCACCACATCTATTATGGATATATTGAACATCTCAGGTCCTGAGATGTCTCAGAGAAGACTGTTTCAGAAAACCTAGTTGTGAACTCCCTCCACAGCTTCCACATTTTAAATGACTGTTCAAAATCCTTTATTTTAGCATAACATCAACACTGCTTTCTCTTTTGAGTCCTTTCATCACAAGTTTTTTGGACATGCAAGCAGACTCAATCACCACTACACACCTGCTTACTGATCCCTTTTAAAAAATTCCAGTCAGGTTGTAAGGACTTCCCCTTGCACAGGAAATGTCTATAATAGACAATTTGCAAGCTGCTCTATTTCTTTATAAGAAGTGACTTATATTCACTGAGGCACACGTTTCTCTTCTGCTAATTGCTACTGAAATTTTAGCATGCCAACATGCTAAATTGCTCCAAAAATGATTTAGGTGCTCACATAAATACATAGCAATATGCATGCAAATGCTTAACAAGCTGTTTTTTTCTGCATTAAATATTTGACATATATTAGTCAGAATAAAAAGGTATTCAATATTTCCTCATATTTCCCAAAGTACTTTGAGCCTGCCATATCCATGCAAGGACAGGTTTATCAACTTACTGTTGATTTTTGAGATTTCCCAATTATTTCTTGTATCCACATCATCCTTAAGAGAAAAGGTAAATGTTGAATAAAACCTCTGTTCATCATCATCAGTAGCCTGAATCAGTGTTCTCTCTCCTCCAGCAAGTGGGTGGCAGAAGAACGGAACATAATTCATAGCCAAGCGTGGAGGATTGTCATTCACATCCTTTAAGTTTATTATGAAGGTTGCTTTGGATTTTTGAGCTGCATTATCTGTAAAATTTAATAGGATAGAGTTATACATCGCATCTTGGACTTTTAGTTGGGACTGCCTGCATCTGTACCCGCTGGAGGTCCTGAGGGACTCATGGTATCTACTGTCACTCAAAAAATCATAGGGTTGATTTGCCCCCAACTCCTGGTAACTATGGAACACTACAAAGTGAAAGGAGACAGCTAGACCATCATTTCTGGTAGGCAATCGCATCCATGGTCAGAGCATTTTCTCTTTTGACCATGAAACTCCAAATCCTCCCCTCCTCCCTTCTATAAGCAGGAAATACAAGTCAGTGTTCTGCTTCAGGCCCAAGACAAGTATCCCAAGAACTTCCTTTTCATTTCTTTTGCCCATTCCCACAAAGATGACCCCACTCTAGCTAAGTGTTTGAAGAAGCATTCCTTTTTCTTGACATACAGTAACTTTGTCTGTACATATCATATTCAGAAAGCCATGGCCAGCATTACTGGTTATCTGTGGGAAGATTTGTTCCGTATTTAATAATTTGTTCCTTATTCAGTCAGACACAGACCATCTCTTTAAACCTCTCTTTAGCAAAAATCTTCCTTAAAGGGACTACCTGAAAGATCTCAATGGCTGCAACTATGAATTCTAATGTGTTTCAAACTAATGAGGTGGTGGGGAGGTTATTCATAATAAAAAATAAATTTTATACAAGATTACAATTTACTCTCCACATGTGTTTTCAGGAAATCAAAACCTACAAGAAGGATTAAAATCTTTATGGGGAAAAATGTAATAGACAATATTAATATTGAAATCACTGAAGAAATGATGACCTTCTCTGTATGCTGTGTTGCTCAAACAAGTATAATGGCACATGATAGCTAACTTCATGAAACTTGTAACATCAAGATTTTTTTTACGAAAGGTAAACGCTTAAGGAAAAATCCTTCTAAGATACATCAAGTAGCTACGCTATTACATCAGATGCACCTGACGACCCCAGCCCAGGAGACCATTCATGCTCCTGCCTTTTTTATGAGTTCAGTTTTGCTGGCCCTGTCTTCATGAAGGAAGCATGGTGTTGCACGAAGCACTGTAGCTGCTCATAAGGCAGCAAGGGCAGGGGATCCCAAAGTGTATACATAAATACGATGTGTATACATAGTCCTTTCCTCACTTACTTGTCTCTGATGCAACAACCTTAACTTCATATGCTTGTTTTTGTTCTCGATCCATCAAGGAGGCAGTGTATATCTCCCCAGTGGATGAATCAATCCTCAGCCATTTCTTCACATCTCCTTCTAAGGAGTATCTTTGGAAAGGAAAAGAAAAAAATCATGTATTTTATTCCAAATCAGGAAAAAACACCCTCTCGACCAAATAAGCACTTCTTCACTGATTATAGGCAAATGGCTTAGTTACAGTTGTACTCAAAGAAAGCGGTCTTGGAAAAGTCCTGATATTACAGCTAGCCAGCAGACACAGACAGAGGAATGGAAGTGAAAAACACTGGTTTCTGCTGTGGATTAAGTTCAGAGAACAAAAAGTAAGGACAGAACCCTAGGAATGTCACTGCTGCTCCAAAGAAGCAGAATCCTCTGCATATCGCAACTCAGCCTTACTCCTAACTAGGGAACTCCAAGATTCCAGCTAGGAGTGTCCAGTGTCCTCAGTGCCCCTCCCTCAACATCACATCACCCATGTCCTGGCTTCAGTGGTGGCACAAGGTGACGACTAGCCAGGGTGCAGCCAAGGGACCTTCGCTGGACAACCAAGGCACCAGGACCCTGAGATGTACTGCAGCAGTCATCTGCTGCCAGTCTTGATGCAGCCTGTAATTACAGTAGCAGCCGCCAACACACTGAGTGTTCTAAACTTTTGCCACATCATTGCTTTCATATTACTCTCAAAACAGAAGGTCTCACGGTATTCAGATATACAGATTTCACAATGAACATACAATCAAGTTAAAATACAGACAAAGAGTATATGCAACCTTTTCAGTCAATGCTTTCATTCTTTGAGTACGTTACATTAAAAACAGCATGCTAACATGCATATGTCTTTTATTTGTATACTATCTTATATCTTTTAACCTACTTTTTAGCAGAAATGTGGTTTATGTAAACATGAATTCCTGTCAGCTGTTTCTGTCATCATCCCCCAGAGCTTATGGACTATGTGGCTCACTTTCAAACAAGCTTGACAGGAGGCCAAACATGCTAAGTTCCCAAAATTTAGAGGAAAGTAAAGAACCAGATGAACCCCCCTTGGGAAAAGAATTCTCCTAAGAGTCAGACCCTGCAACTCCATTAACTACTTGATGTTTCGTTCAAGTTTAGTTAGATTTCAAGGACTGTTTAATATGGTTTGGATTGACTTTTTCAGCATTCCAGATGGGACTCACGCAGCAAGAACCACAAACAATTTGTGTATCTGTCACTAATGTAAAAGGTCCGTGTGTGCCATGCAGCAGATCATGATCCAGCAGAGTCTTGAGGTGATTTGACCACAGGATACAGCACTGAATAACCTGGAGGCACCAGCCTGGTACATCTGGCATTCCATTCATGGTTGTTTGAATGGACCTGCAGTGTATCCTGACAACTACACTGGAAGCAGGCCTTTACTCTCCGATAACTATGTAGAGAAGACTTAGTTTAAAGAAAATGAATGAATTATCAAATAAAGACTCAAGCTTCTTTCTAGGTGGAGTGTGTTCTGCTGCATACAAAACCCTGCGCTGTTACCTGTGTAACATGAAAAGCAGCTGTGGTCCTACTGGTTCCTAGGAGAATTCTGTACGTATCTCATTCATTACTAAAGGTATTTGGTAGGATGGATTTAGGAACTCTGTTATTTTCAGATTAGATCTACTTTTTGGCTGGAGATACATACTGGCTTTTTTTGCTTTTAGTTTCTTGCTCCAAGGGCCCAACTAGGTGATGCTTGTTATAATATATGATGATTAGGAAAGCACCTTCCAGCAGTTCACTTAAGGTAGGTCCAAGGCCATCTCTGAACTATATCTACCACTTGTACTATTAGAAGAGAAATAGATAGCTCTGTAAAAACTTCTTTTCCTCTATGCTAAATATGAGCTTTGTTCTTCTTGTCCTTCTATGATAAAAAATGTCTAAGCCCTATCTGATCTTGAGATTTTAACTGGGTATCCATAGAGTGAGGCCTGTACTAACACAGGTAATGATCACCCCATTATATGCTGAATATAATCAATAAATCACAATCTTTTTTTACCGTACAGTATCCCCCTCAGGATCAAAGGCTTCCACTGTTGCGACCAGCGTATCGACAGGAACATTTTCAAGTGCTTCTGTTATGTAAGCTTCTTGGCTGAAAACAGGTGCTTCATCCACATTGCTTAGAAAAACTTTGAAGACTGCAAAGGAGCTTGAGTTATACTCCACTCCTGTCACCAGAGGTTCAGGGTTTGTGGCATGGATCAGCAGATTGTACACTGGAGTCGTTTCAAAATCAAGAGCCTGGAAAAATGAGAAAAAAAAATACTTAAAAGAACTGT